CTCTATCCATTATGCCACACTGTCTCTCATATTTGACTCGCTCATTTCTTTTTAATTTAATTTTTATTTTCAGGTCCAAATTCTCTCCTTCTCTTCAGCCCCTCCCCCACCCATTGAGAAGGCAGAAATATGATACGAATTATACATATTAAATCATCCAAAACACATTTCCTTATTAGTCATGTTGGGGTGGGGGAGAAGCAATGGAAATAAAGACAGGAAAAAATTGTGCTTTAATCAACACTGCTGAGTCCACCATTTCTCTATCTGGAGGTGCATAGCTTGCTCATAATTTTTTTTTTTAGAACAGACCCATGATTTCATTGGTGCTCTTAATGAAGGAACTCTTTTCACCAAAGCAGATTGCAATTTACAATCTCAGAAAGTTGCCTGGAGGCCCTGAGAAGTTAAGTGACTTGCCCAGGGTCACATTGGCCAGTATATGTTTGAACTTAGGTCATCCTCACTCTGAGGCCAGCTCATTTTACACTCTTCTGCCTCTCACATAGTAAGCATTTGACAAAATTTTGCTGAATAAAGCAATGAAAGAATGAATGAATGAAAAGTGCATTTCCGTTACAAAGCATGCTACACAATTTCTTTTTAAAAATATTTTTCCAATTACATGTAAAAATAATTTTTAACATTCGTTTTCAAGAATTTTGAGTTCCAAATTCTCTCCTTCCTCCCTTCTCCCTCATTGAAAAGGCAAGCAATTTGATATAGGGTATACACATGCAGTCATGTCAAACACATTTCCATATTAGTTACAACATAACTTTTCCCATCAGCATCCAGGGCAAAGACTCAACCTTTTTTCAATCAGGGTCCCCTCTGAAAGTCTGAACTTGAAGCCTAGGGACATCTTCTCAAAATAATGTTGTTTAATGCATAAAATAAAACATAGAGGACTAAAAAGGAAACTAATTATATCAAAATAGTTATCAGAATTTTTATTTTTCAGATCATAGACCCCAGAGTAACAACCTTTGATACAATCAGTTTTTCTGTTGCTTGAAGGCTACACCTCAGGCAGAGGGAAAGAATGGCATCAGAATATGTGTCTAGTTGAAGAGAAATGTGCTATTTTGTGAGGTAGTGAGTTCTCCATTACTGCAGGTAATCAAGCATAGGCTAGATGACCTTTTGGCAGAGATGCGGTGGAAGACACTCATATTTCAGGTAGAAATTGGTCTAGGTGATCTCTGAGTTCTCTTATAACTTCAAGATTCTTTGAAACACCTTCTCCCCACTCCCAAATGAAAGAAAAGGCAGAAGCAGCTGAATTTTCTCATTTGAAATTGAATATGTCTGGCTGGGGCCATCCCAAGGATCACATGGATTGTAGAATTAGAGCTAGAGGGACTTTAGCTGTCACGAAGTCTAACCTCTTCATCTCACAGACAAGGAAACTGAAAGAGGTTATGTGACTTGCCTAGGGTCACATAACTAATAAATGTTAGAGGTAGGATTTGAATCCAAGACTTCTGATTCTGTAATTAATGAGCTCCCCATAACTGGAGAGCCTAGATTGAACAAATGACACCTTTCCCTTGCCTTGGGAGCAAGGTAAATTGTATATACACTTCATCCTTCCTGCCGTCCTCCTGACCCCCTCCTCTCAATCACAACAAAAGACATTGATCAGTGAACAAGACTGTACAAATCAGAGGCCAGCATCAAAGCGGAGGAAAAGGAGCCAAAAGGGAGAAGTCACGAGAGAGTCACGTGCAGCCAGAGAGGACGTGGGAATGATAAGGGGGAGGCAGACTCAGTTGCCAGGCAGCCAGTCCAGCCCACATTGCCTTGGTGACAAAGGAAGAGGGGGTGGAGGGGCTGCGGGTATGATAACAACTGATGTTTATTTGTATAGTGACTTAGCAATCACAAAGCACCTTAATTCATACAAAGCACACTTAATATCACACTGATTTACAAGTTTCCTGAGGTAGGTAGTATAAGAACTATCATTCCCATTTTATGGATTAGGGAATTGAGGTTCAAAGTGTTCTGCTAGCAAATACCTTTCTTATTACAAGTCTAAGGGTCTAAGGTTCTTCCCATTATACTAAAAGATATGCCTAGGTTTTTATTTTTATTTTATTTTATTTTTTATTTATTATGCCCAGGGTTTTTTATTTTGTTTTGTTTTAAAGCACCAGCTGATAGTGAAACCATTTCCTCCTTCTCATCCTAGGAACAGAAATTTAGAGGTGGAAGGAACCTCAAATGCCCACCTAGTCCAATTCCCTTGTTTTTATACTCGAGGAAATAAGTGACTTGCCCAAGGTCACAAGGCTAGGAAGTGACAGTGAGGATTTGAACCCAGGATCTCTGACTCCAAACCGAGCATTTTTTCTGAAGCATCCTCTTGTCACCTCCTTTTTATTCTCTTATCCTCTCTTCCTCCTCCCAGTCCACCTGTTTTAGCCTCAGTCACTCATATTGCTCATGTCACCAGGCTGCTAAAATATCCCTGGTGCCTACAAGTGGGGGGGCCTGGGTAATCACCCCAACTTGTAGTTCTCTGGGTCTAGCTCTGTGCTCTGTCTTTATTACCGCCTTTTTTATATTTCTGTGGCACATTGGCTTGGCATGGGGGCATCCTGGAAACAGTTGCCAAGGGTTGATTTTTTTTCTATGGGTATCTGTTTGAAGTAGGGGTGGCCAACTCTTGAGTGTATCCGCTGCCCAGAACACTGCTCTTGTTTGTCATTGTGAGATAGCTTTTGCCGGCCTTCGGGTCAGATCTGGGCTCAAATGACAGTTGTGCCACTTGCTGGTTTAATGGGAATAAATGGGTGATCTGCAGGTACCCAAGGCTACTTTTGGTTGGCCATGAGGGCTCTGGCTCAGCACTGAAGGCCTTTGTGCTTTGAGATAATGAGACACTTTCCTTATTGGGCACTAAGTGGGGAAGAGAGGCAGCTGAGTAGTGAAGTGGATAGATGAATGAACCTGGAATCAGGAAGACATGAGTTAAAATCCAACCTCAGACCCTCACTAGTTATGTGACTCTGGGCAAGTCATTTCACCTCTGTCTCAGTTTCTTCATCTGTAAAATGGGGGTAATAAATAATAGCACCAACCTCCCAGGGTTATGAAGATCAAATGAGATAATATTTGTAAAGTATGCTTAACACAGTGCCTGGCACATAGTAGGTGCTATATAAATCCTAGCTATTATTATTGCTGTTGTTGCTACTGCTCTTATTGTCGCTGTTTTTATTATTAAGAGCAGCCTGCTGACTCGACTTGAAAATGAGAGCAAGAACTTCTCTTGCTCTCTTCTTCCCCTCTCTAGAATATGTGGCATGGAACTCTCCTGCTGGGACTTCTGGGATTCCCTTGGGACTCTCTCCCTGGCAGTAGCAATGTCACTGTGCTCAGGAACTGTCCAGGTGAGCCTGAGTTTTGGATCTCTTATCTACACTTTCTACTTCTGCTTCTTTCCCTGAGAATAGGTGGCCCTGAAAGGGATTTTTCTAGACTTGGAGGCAACATTCTGAATCTGAAAGACAGGAAGTTCCTCCATCCCTTGTTCTGAGCTGACTGGCAGCAGGAGTAAGTTTCTGCAACTATACTTTTCTCAGAGAAGATGATGAGCCTAAGGCCTTGTCTTTCTGACACAAAGACATATCTTGAAGGAATTGTTTCAATGTTGCAGAGTCAAGGTGAAGGTGAAATGGCTAGTCAACTGTCCCACGAAGTACTCAGTCGCCTAGGAAAGTATTATTTAACAAAAGTTATGGGTTACGTATTGTCAATGCATCCTTATGAGTCTCTTGTGTTTTTAGCATTTTTCTGTGTGTGGGAAAATAAATAGCTGTCCTATACCTGATATACGCTGCACATCGAATACTCTTCTACTTCCTTTTGGAAAACCCTAAATAGAAGCTACACTTATGCTTTATTTGATTTCGTCCTAGGTTTTAGGATTGGGGTGGGGTGGGGAAATACATGAAGAGCTAGAGACAATGAAAAAAGAGGCTGACCCCTCTCTTTAGAAGACAGGCTTCCCCAGAATTGAATAATAATAGCTAACATTTATATAGTGCTTCAGCATTTATAAAGTGCTTACATATATCTCATTTGATCCTCACAACAACCCACTGAGGGGTAGGTGCGATTCCTTTTTTTTTTTTTTATCTTAGGCAATCGGGGTTAAGTGACTTGCACTGGGTCACACAGCTAGTGTCAAGTGTTTGGCCGAATTTGAACTCAGGTCCTCCTGACTTCAGGCTGGTGCTCTATCCACCCTAGTGGCCCCTAGGGTAGGTGCTATTCTTATTCCCATTTTACAGGTGTAGAAACTGAGCTTGAGAGAAGTTGTGACATTAAGTGTCTGAGGGAGTATTTAAACTCAGGCCTTCTGGGTTTCAAATCCTATCACTTTCGTGTCTTCTGCTTTGCTTTGACAAATGGACACCTTACCATCATTTGCCTTCTCTGCTTCTGAGAGATGCACCAATTTGTCCAAGTTATCTGCTTTCTCCATTATACTACCTAGCTGCCAAATTGTCCTTAGTCTCTTCATGAGCTAGATTTAGGGAACATTAAATGGGAAAGCATAAGCCTCCCCCCAGCCCCCCAGGGCACAATGGGTATGTTGTTATAAGAGCTGTATGGCCTTTCCAAAGTCTTTTTCTCTGAGTCTCATGGGGCTAAGGATTTCCATGGGTTCAAATTCTTGGTCAAACACCAACTGTGTGACCTGGGACAAGTTACTTAAGCACTCCCTGCCTCAGTTTCCTCCTCTATACAATGAGGAGATGGGTTTCAAAGCTCTCAAAGGTCCTTTGTAGCTTTAAATCCAGGTTCTTATAGTCAGGTAAGGGTAGACATGATTAAGGGTGGGAGAATAACTAACGTTTATATGGCACTTTCAAATTTACAAGTCACTTTACCTGGAATCTCAGGGCAATTCTGAGAGGTATAGAGCACATTCTTCTCCACATTTTATAGGTGGGGATATTGGAGCACAGAGAGGGCTAACTTACCCAATGCCACACAGCTGGGTGGAATATATGAACCCAGGTCTTCCTGCCTCTCAGCCCAAGGCTTTAACTCCTTCAGTGTACTGCCTCTGCACAGGGGGAGAGGAGACGCGTGCAAATTTTGTTAAATCCACTGTGAGCTCCTGTCCCCAGCCTTCAAATCTCCTGGGAATAAAGAACGTGAGTTTTCATGAGGCGAAGTCAGCGGAGTAAAAGCCTCCAAGGCCAGACCTGGGCTTTGCTGACCTAGCCCGCAGCATTCTTCTCTTCCTCCCCGGGTAGCCTCTCGGTCTGGGCTAACCTGTTCCTTTCTCTCGGCCGCCGTCCCTTTTCTAGGGCTTTTCTCCTTTTCGCTTGCAGTGAGTTATGATGTCCTGTAGGCTACAATGTGTCAGTTGTTATAAAATCTAGGAGGTGGAGTCTGGCCCGTGACGCGGCGCTGGCTGTGCTGGGGGGAGCGAGCGAGCTAGCTAGTGAGCGATCGAGCGAGAGTCAGCCCTGCAGTGAAAGCAGCTCCAGCTTGCAGCCCCCCCAGGTCATTGGAGCCCATGCATTTCAGAAAGAAAACTTGTATTTTTCTCTCCTGGTTTCGATCGTCTCCATAAATCAGACCGTCGGAAGGACGAGGACGACAGACAGAGGGAGGGAGAGAGCGAGGGAAGATGCGAGATGAGAGCCCCTCTGGCAACCTGACCATTGCTTTGGACAAACCTGGAGAGCTTTTCTTATCGGCTCTGGGCACTGACTGCAAGTCAAAGGAGGAGTCTCTGTGTGTGTATGTGTGCGTGTGTGTGTTTGTGTGAGTGTGTGAGTGCAAGGGTGTGTGTGCATAAACCGCGATTGTGAGTGTGCATGTTGGAATGAGTGTGTGAGCGCTTGTGTGTATGTTTGTGTGTGTGTATGTGTATTTGTCTGTGCGCGTGAATGTTTCTGAGATACATACATACATACATTTAAAGAGAAGTCTGGAAAAACTGAAGCAGGTTACTGTGCTTTTTTGGAGGGGGAGATGTCCACTCTTTTTTAAGACGAGCTGACTGAAGCCAGTTATTATTTGCCTCCCCGTCCCCACCCCCCACCCCGCAAATGAAGAGAATTCTTCCTGCAAGCTAGGTTTTTTTCCCCCCTTTCCCTTTCTGCAGCCAAGTGAAACTGATTAGTCCCCAAACCTTGGAAATCGACTTGACTCCTGCTATTGCTGGGAGGATCAGGGAAGAAATCGGGGGAAAAACAAATCGGGGTTAGTGTAGCCCCGTCAGAAAATGTCATCTCAAACTAAGTTCAAGAAAGACAAAGAGATCATAGCTGAATATGAAACACAAGTCAAAGGTGAGTTACCTTTTGACTTTTACTTCCCCTCCCCCTCTTGATTTCTCTGGCTGTAGTTGCGGTTATTTTTCCTCCCATTTCCTACAGTCAAACGTTGTTATGCATGGATAATCTTATTGTGAGCATGGGTGGGTAGTGGCTGCACGAGACCGGGCTGGTTTCAGCTGCAGCAATGCAAGGGGCTGGTGTATGGATTCTAGGATGGATAGCAAAAGCTGCATTGCAGTTGTGTGAGGGTTCTCTGGTTGACTTGAGGAGCGTCAGTGTCAGTAAAATGCCTACTTCATCATCCTGACGGTGACATGTCACTCTAAAGCCATTTTGACAACCAGTGCTGTCCTCCCTCGCCGTCAAAGCCCTTCAGGGCTGGTGTATTTGGAGATCTATCTGCTTTTTGCTTCTACCACCTTTCCCCCAGGGGTCAGAATTCATGTGTATGTGCACCTGGAAACAGCACACAGACATTGCATTTCTTTGTCAGTTTCTCTCTGCTGTGTTGTATTTGCATGGATTAACTGTTATAGGGGCATATTGATCCAAACTAATGCAGGCATTTAGGCATAAAGAGACAGCTCCATGTAGAAATGCTCTGTGTCACCGTATGCAGCCAATCAGGTTTCCTGCAGCAGCATTTAGGGGTGTCTGTCTTCATTCAAAGGAAACAAGCCAGTGTATAGTGAGGGCTGATGAATCTCTGCCTGCAGTGGCTTTGGTGAAGCTTCTCTTGAACTCAGTGACCTCTGACTGTTTCTCTGAGACCGGTGTCCGGGACCCATGCCTTGCTGATTGTCCTAGCCAAACTAAGGGCTGACACAAATAGCAAGGGTTTCAATAGTCTTTGCAAAATCGAGAATTGCAGAAACCCAGTGTAGTTCAGGCAAGAAGAGTGCTCCCTCCTCAACCTGTCTTCCACCCCACCCCTTTTGCATTTTCTGTTTTGCTTTGACAAGTGGAGACCTTATCATCATTTACTAGATTCTTTTTGAGAAATGTCTCAGAGGCCTCAGCACTTAGAACTTAACAATGATCTGTTTTCTTTGGGGTCAGTGTTCTCTTGCTGCAACATGAAGGATGGGTCGTACCTCTCTCTTTCTCATGAGAGTAAAGAGAATAAATCTTCAGGGGGAAACTCTGGCCCATCCTTCATCCCACAGGGCACTGAAAAGATCCGTTATATGAGGCCAGTATGTCTTGTGCTTACAACACCTGCCTCTCATTCCCTTTCTATTGAAGGCTCAATGACCTGGGAACTTAGGAAGCCCCCTCAGGGACTGGGGGACCTGGAGAGTATAGAGCTGCCATTGAGAACGTCAAATGCTTGGGAAACTTTGGAAAAGGAGAGCAGTTATCAGGGGGAGGGCTTTGTTTTCCCCAGCCAGCCAACAACCCTTTTCCTTTCAATTCTGGCAAAAGGCCGTTATGCTAATCATGGATAGACCAAGCTCTGGATGAAACTGATCAAGAAAACCTTCCCTTCTCCTAACGGCTTCCTTTGTATGTTGCTGTCTTGTGGAAAATAGTAACTTCTGATATGTTTGTCTCTCTGAAGTTTGGAAGACAGGCGCTTTATTGTTCTGAGGACTGGCTTGGATTGCCAAATAAAATAACTAGGCTTGGATTTGCATTTTCAATGAGATTATTTATAAGACCTGTTTTGTCTGTGAGTGCATATATATAGATATATATGCATATATACATATGTATATGTATATTTAGAGAGGATCTTACTTAAAATTCCATTGAAGAGTTTTAGAAAGTCTTTCTCAGGTTATCAACTCCCTCTTGAGGTCCAATTGAGCCATAAAGGCTGTTAGCCCTTTTTGAAAGGATTGGCCATCACCACTTCGCTGACTTGGCTTGATTTCCAGTGTTGGCTAATTATCGACCTGTCATCTTTATTTTAAGGAACTAGCTAGCAAGTATAAGATAATGAATTTGGACACGGATGTGTTCAAGGACACCGGCTGTAATCCTGGTTTTTTTGCACCCAAATGCCCCAATCCAATGCCCATCCCCTGGCCTCTGGTTTCACCAATTCTTAGCAATGGGAGAGTCTACCTTGATTTAAGCACCGCTGACATCTGTGGGATTCAGGCAGGAATAATTTTGCACACCGAAACCTTTGGAAAGCCCACCTTTCAGAGCTCTGTTGGGCAGAATTGTAAAGGCCAGGCGGCTTCTGAAGGCTAGCCTGAGCCCAGCCCTCCCAGAGACATTGTTCTCTTGAAGCTCTTTCTTCAAAGATTGACACCAAGAGCAGATGGGCATTTTGGGGTGGGGACTTCATCTTGATGCTGCTCCATTGTTTACCCTCTCACTTTCATTTTGGAGGTCTTTGTTGCTGGCTTTGGAGAAGGATAGACCGATCACAACAAATACTATTTGATGTCAATTACCTTTCTCCCTGGGTGTAATTTGGCCAAATTGATGGGCTGGAACTCCCTAGTTAGGCAAATTTAGCTCTGGCCTACCTCTCACTTGGCTTTTGATTTTAGCAGTGATACTGAGTTCTCCGCTGACTTGTGCCCTCTTCACTCTTCTTGAAGGATTTAGGGTTGGCAAAAAAGGGAACATTTTTTGGACTCTACGTGTTTTGGAATTTTCAATGTGAAACGAAGTGGTCCCTCTGCTGTTCATTTGAAGTCTGGATTTCCATTTTAAAGAAATAGAAAATGAAAAAGAATGGGAGCAGCTGGGGACCAGTGTTCAGGAGAAGCAGTTGAAACAGAAGGAGCCCTGGGTCAGGGTGGAGACATGTTTAATCTTGCTCTGTTATCACCCAGTTGAGGGACTGGGCGCCTCTCTGATCTCAGTTTCCTCATTTGTAAAAATGAAGGGGTTGTACTGTTTACCCTCCGAGGTTTGCTTCAGCTCTGAGTCCTCTGGTTCTGTGATCAGTAAAGGCCCTGTGAGCTTTGTGACATGAAAAGGGCTGGCTTCTAGCCCCAAATCTGCCACCAGTTAATTTCTTCTCTTTGTGGGCTTGGATAAGCCTTCACTTTTCTGGGTCTCAGTTTCCTCATCTGTAAGTTGACCAGGAATCTGGTGCACTGGATGCAGAATAAAAGATGCTGGTCCTAATCTGAGCTCTGCTGCTTCCTGCCTGTGTGGTCCTAGGAAAGTCATTGTTATCTTTTCTGGGCCTGAGTTTCCTTACCTGTAAAATGAGGACATTGCCCTAGGTGACTGACTCCTTAGGACACTTCATCTGGAGTCAGGAAGACCTGAGTTCAAATCCTGTCCTTGGGCACTTCCTAGCTGCCTGACCCTGAGCAAGTCACTCAACCATTATGTGCCTTAGTTTCCTGTAAAATGAGTGTTGGACTTGATGGTCTCTTCTAGCCCTAAATCTATGATCTTGTGATCTCTAAAGATATTTCCAGCTCTGCAATCCAATAATTTTCATTTTTTGCTTAAATAAAATCCTATTCATTTAAAGCATTTTTATGATAGTATAAATCTAAAATGTTAGGGAGGAAGAAAAGTGACTAAGGAAGATCACAGGGAGATATTTTCTCATTCAACAAACACCTACCAAGAAGCTTCCATGTGCCCAGTTCTGAAGGGGAGACAAAAATAAAGAGACAAAAATTCTTAGGGAATTAATCTGATTTGGAATACAGGTTTCAACAACCAACACAAGTAACAGTCATTCAGTCAACCAGCTTTGAAGGGCTTACTGTGTGTCAGACACTGTGCAAAGTGCTGGGCAACCAAAGAAAGGCAGAAAGCGTTCTGCCCTCAAGGAGGTCACCCTCTGCCAGGAGAGCAAGATGTCACTAAGTAACAGCAGATATACACAGATGCAGGTAATTGGAAAGGCCAGTGGGTGGCCAGTGGGAGAGGTAGTTTAGGCAGGAAAGGTGGTTATTTGAGCTGAGTAGTGGAGGAAGCCAGGAGAGCTGGGAGTTAGAAGTGAGGAGAGAAAACGTGCCAGGCCCTGGGAACAGCTAGTGTAAAAGGTAAAATGAGGAAAAGCCAAGTCAAAACTTCCAAAAGAGTGTGTTAGCTTTTGTTGTTGTCAAGTCATTTCCATTGTCTGACTTTTCATGATCCCCTCTGTGGGGGGTTTTCTTGGTAAAGATACTGGAGTGGTGTTGTGCGATGACTAATATTGATAAATTTAACCCTTCCCAGCAATACAAGGGTCTAAAACATCTCCAGAGGCCTCGCTATCCACATCCAAAGAAAGAACTATGAAAGTTGACTTGCTGTTTTTTTCTCTTCTGTTGAGTTTTGTTTCCTCTTTCTGATGGTTCCTTCTATTGGTTTTAATTTTTACTTACAACACCACTAATGTGAAAATAGGTCTAATAGGAATATAAATGTATAGCCTATATCAGATTGTGCGTGGTCTTGGGGAGGGTGGTGGGGAGGAAGGGGGAGAAAAATTTTAAACTCAAAAGCATATAGAAGTGATTATTGATAAATCAAAATAAATTAATAAAATTTTAAAAAAAGATACTGGAGTGGTTTGCCATTTCCTTCTCCAGCTCATTTTAAGTGATTTGCCCAGGGTCACACAGCTAGTTAGTATCTGAAGCCATATTTGAGCTTAGGAAGGTGAGTCTTCTTGACTTTAGGCCCAGCATTCTATGCATTGTACCACCTAGCTGGCACCATGAGATAGGGAAGGCTGTTTGGAAAACACTGATCTGACTCTGGCAAAAACAGCATCTAATTGAACAATTCCACAGCTCTGTAACTGAATAGGACATTTCCATGTTCTAAGTTTTCGGATTGCCAGATCATAGCCATTGTTTGTTTTCTGTAGTTTTCTTCTGTATTAGTGGAGGTCCAGTGGGGGAGAAGGGGAACGGGAGAAAGCCCTTCACGGTTTGGTGAGCAATGTTCAGTTTCCTTGTCTGTGGCCTAACACTGGGAAACCACACCCATCTATCTTCAAATAAGAGTGTTTTGCCAGGGAAACCGTCAGAAGCCTACTGCCCTCAACAAGTAGGTGTCTAGCATGGATTCACACTGGGCACGTTCCACAATTC